GCCGCGCACACCCCCCCCCCCCCCCCACCGGTCAGCTACCCACCTGGGTGTACTTGAGCACCAGGCTGACCATGCTGAGGCATTCCCCCAAATTGCTGTTGCATGTTGCCCTGCTGTGGGAGGGTGGCTCTACCTGGGGAGCCAACGCCCTGGGGAAAGCCCTGAGGAGTCGTAGGTCTCTGAGCCAACATGGGGGGGGTCCCTGGGGAGCCCTGCTGAAAGGGAGATGAAGAAGAACCGGGGGATTTGGCAGTGAGGTTGCCTTGCTGTCCAGAAGTCGGTGGAAGTGGAGGAGGAGGTCTGGGTGGTCCTGTGATCCCACCAGAACCACCCTGTGGTACTTTAGGCTGAGGGGCAGCAAACTGGCCCATTCCTGCCTGCTGCTGCTGCTGGGGCAACTGCCCTGGTCCCAGGGCACCAAATACCTGCCCTGCTTGTTGGCTGCCAAAGGGGTACGGAGGTGGAGGGTGGCTGGGGGTCTGAACGGTGGAGAGGGATGGGGGGCGCTGAACCATTTGTGCCTGGGGTGGAGGCTTTCTCCAGGCAGGACCTGGCTGGACAGCTTGTTGCTGCAAAACTCCAGGGGGCAACTGGTTCCAGCCAGGAGTCATCTGCCCTGATGGGTTGAACGAAGGTCGAGGGGCGAGCTGGGAGAGCTGGGAGAGCTGGGCGTGCTGGGCGTGCTGGGCGTGCTGCTGCTGCTGCTGCTGCTGCAGCTGCTGCAGAGCGGCCGGGTTGAGTGGTCTCCCAGCCTGCAGGGTCTGCATGTGGTGGGCAGCCTGAGGAGGAAGAGGACCTGGACCATGGAGACCCGTCTGCTGATGCTGGAGCTGCAGCTGCTGCTGCTGCTGCTGCTGTTGAACTGGCATACCTGCCATCACTGGATCCATTCCTTCTGAAAACAGGAGGAGGATGTTGTCATGTGAAGAACATGAGCTCCACCAGGAGAACACAGGAGAAGAACAAGAACATCCACCCCATCTTATCATAGACTTTCAAAACTTTCCATCTTATCTGAGCAACAATGACGCCACTTAATTCTTTAAGACCGAGTTAGTGCTGTTCCCAAACAAAACATCGGAGGGCGTAGTTTTGAGGTTATTTGTCTACTACTGTGGTTCACGATCAATACAAGTCTACTGTTTAAACAGAACATGGTCTACTGACAAAAGAAGAAAGGTCTGAACCTGGCTGTGAAGATGGTCTTGGAATGCGAGGGTGTACATGTCCACTGTTTCCTGGTACCACAGCCTGAGCTGACATACCAGGCCCAGGTGGAACCATCTGTGGGTTAGGCATACGTATGTCTCCTGAGAGAAACACACAGACAGTGATGTGGCTTTAACCTGGAGGCTTCAAAATCACTTGGTTCTCCTGAGGGAGGGGCTGCTGCTCTAGAGGAGGAGTGGAACTGTTGTGACTGAGGAGTAAATCCATGACACGACACCATGTCAACGGTACAATGGGAGACCATGTGTGAACAAGCTACTTCCACTGGACAGCAAAATAGACCAAACAACGGCCCTGGGCGGGGGTCGTCAGGGCAACATCAGTGTCAGTGTGGGGTAATAAACAAAACTCTGGAGACAGTCCTGTCTCTGCACAACCAACAGTAGGTAAAGTGGGGGCAGTGCCTTTGGATGGAATAAATGAATCAAACCTAATGCAGCATATTGTTGAAAAGATGTGACGATTAAATGAATCATTTTTACAAACTAACCTTCAGGTTGTTGTTTTTTCCTCTCAGGATCATGTTTTACAACCCTTTTCAGCAGAGAGGCAATATTTGTTGTTACAGGTGAACCACTAGATGGCGCATTCCAGTTTTCTGTGGTGTATCCCTACATGCCACTTCTGCATTGAACCATTCTCAAATAACAGTAGCAAGTGATGAGTGAAGGAACTAGCAGTGTCTGTGTCTGTGTCTGTGGACCACGTCCTGTCAGGTCACCTGGAGGTCATATCAATGTGGACCTTCTATAGAAATAGTCATAGAAATCCTGTAACGTCAGTGAGCACACACACCTGAAGCCGGCTGTCCTGGGAAGGACACGTCCATCCTGATCTGACCAGCCGCTCCTATTGGTCCATTCAGTCGAACTTCTTGACCTCTGTTTGGTCCCTGAGCCACATTGATGGCCCCCTCCCCTGAAAGTCAAAAGGTAGGGAGGTCATCTTCTAAGATTTACACAAGTGCATCGGTCAGAGGTGTGAACAGATGTTTGAGTCAAAGGTCACAAGAAGAAGAAGAAGCATCTTAACGGTGTCTGTTGACCAATCAACTCCACGTCAACCTGTTCAGAAACATCTGACACTGTATCTACATTCAAATACGTCTGGTCATCACAACAAACTCCACTGTAACAACGCAAACTGTGAGTGACGTCACTGTACACAGACATGTATGAGCAGACACACATCACAGAGTTAGGGTTATACAAGGCTGATCAGCTGCCAAGTACAACATCACTAACAGAGTGAACTCCATGATGGTGGATGTGTCTTCACCTTCTATCTGCACCGACAGAATGCCCAGGTCTCTGAGCTGCTGCTGGTTGTTCTGAGCCAACACTCGCAGTCGTTCGGCAGCATCTTTGGGAATGTTGAATGTGACTCGAACGCTGTTCCATGGCTCCACGTTCTGGGCAGGTAGCCTGTCAGATCCTGAGGGAGGGGGGGGGACAAAAAACATGCTGTGTGATGCTACAGATTAAACTGAAATCTTTGTGTTTATTGTCACCTATGAATTCTGAACACAAAATATTACTACACTCAGAATAGCAGCATATGATTTATTACTTTTTTTTATTAACTCTACAACTGTCCAGTCCTTCAGTTTAGTTGAGGTAGAGTGTACAGCAGCAGACCGTCGAATAATTAACTGGTCAATTAAACTGGTCGTTAATTAATTGACACATCAAAGTACTGTACCCATATCGAGCACCGCAGGAATCCCACTCAGGACGGCGTCCAGCTTTTGGGTGAAGTCTTCATCTTCCATGTTCCCTTGAAAGGCAACAAACACCGTGAACTCATCTCCGTCCTCGCAAAGTTCTCCTGTGTCTTCCTGCTTAAGAACTCCCTCAGGTCTGTCTGTGATTCCATGGGAAAAGTCGGGATCCTCTACTGTATCGTCCCCAACACCGGAGTCCCGGTCGGAGTCAGAATCTGATTCCGGGTGCGCCGCCCTGTGGGCCAGATCAGACGCAGTGCCCTGATGTGCCATCCTCCCTTCTTGCAAGAGCGGCGTTTGAATGCTGGGAATCACAAAAACACAGATGAGTGCAAACCAACGACCCTCGAAGTCCAGTGTCAGCCAGGACCCTGCTGGGGTCCCTGTTCAAGGCTGAGCTCCAGAGTTAATCTTGGAAATGAGCAAAACCAACCACTGTGAACGGGAATTTAGTTCATCAATAATAATTCTTTTGTGTTTATGATTCCATGATTCCACGTGTTGTTATATTAGCACTGAAGGAACAGCTGATCTGAGGTGTTGTCTAAATGACTTGACCTGGGCTGAAGGTTTATTGAATATGTTAAACATGTTTATGTGTACCAGATGGCACCGATGAGGCTGCTGTTAGTGTTAACCTGACAGAATGGCACAGACAGGTAGTGTTCATCAGCGCATACTGAACTGGAGTACCTTTACAAAGAGCAATGTGTTAAAAAAACAGATTGAATCACGGTCTTCACGGCAAACTAAACGAAAGTACCAGGGCATACACAGTATTTGAGCTGAGAATCAAAGTGAACCCACGACCTCTCTCTCTCACAATAATATGAGACCGTTGGTCTTCACGACTTTTAGATTCACTTGTTAAAAACAAAGATGGAGATGACGTTTTTAAACTAAGCAGAAAAGCTGCTGCCTGCATCGCATCGCATCACTCTTCAGGACTCACTTCCACATCACACCAGACTGAAGGTAAAATTCCAGGAAAGCTAATCTCACCAAACATGCTCCAAGCAGAGTTAATCGTGGTTTCATAGAACCGCCGGTGACGTGACGGTATTGTTAGGGATCTTTTAACGGAAATGTACATATTTGACACGGCTATTGTCGGTGACACTCGTGTATCAGCACAGGGTTAACACTAACACAACAGTAAGTGGCAGAAACACTCCGACGACCACGAATCAATATACTGTGTACTACGGTTATAACATGATGGGCCCTGCAGAGACTCGGCCTTCAGCGCGGATCCAAGCTATTCTTTAGCATTCCGAATACAGAACACAACAAATGCATGCGGTCTCTGTTCAGACATATGTAAATATAAACAACAATGAATACGTTCTTTGTTCGTGTGTTGCACACGACGCGCTATTTTGTAGAAGGAAACAAAAGTGGAGGTGCTCGGTTAGCAAAATGCTAGTTAGCAGGATAGCAACGAACGCAATTTAACACGAACGCACTGAAGTACAAAGGTATTGACCATACAGTTGATTAAATCCCGCGACGCGAAACATAAGCGGCAGTATGTTGCCTAAAAAACAAACACTTACCACATATATTCATTTACGTTCTACCGGTTACATCTGGTAACAAAACACTAAGACATTGGCAAGTCTGAAAGGATGTCAAACACACGAAACCCGAAAGCTTCCGGTGAAGTTCTCCAAAATAAGAGAAGAACAATTCTAAGTTCCGGGCACGCGACAAAGAGTGTGCGAAAAATGTTACCCGCATATGACGGAACGGGAAAGGGAGAGAAAAAGAGGAAGAGGTGTAGTACTGTGAGCGCGTGTGTGGTGACGAAGTTCGTGCAAAACACGTAGCATCCTAATTGGTCGATATTGTCAAGTAAACCTGTCAGCTTTTATTTCGAGCGAGCTTTTCTGCGTTGACAAGCGTCTGTTAGCATGTTTTGCGTAGGCTTTCTTAAGAACATTGAAGGCTAAGGGATGTTGGCCTTGATTAAAACCTGTTTGTTCATGTTTCTGTCCACTAAACTAAAACGGTTGGTTCGTCCTGTTGCAGGATGACACAAGCTTGACCCCTCCCCTCTGCTCTGATTGGTCAGTACTGGTTTTCTTCCGAAGCTGGTTGGTCCCCTCTCCTTTGTTGTGTAAACACAAGATAATAAACGGTGTCGTAGGTGATTCTGTGCTTTCTGAAAATGTCGATGGTCGCGGGTTGTGCTTTTCTGGTCTTGTTAGTCATCGGGATCTGAATCAAGTCAATAATAATTCCAAAGCTTTTGAAAATAATAGGTCGCGAAAAACACGCTCTTCTCCACAATATCCATCCATGTGTGTTGTCTCTTAAGAATGATGTGGTAAAGAATGTCAAAATACAACGGAGAGGAAACAAGGACATTTTTGTACTTTAGAGATTTTCAGTCTAAGATCCACTATCAGTCCATTAAACTCAGTGAAGCAAAGGGGTCAAAAGGTCACAATAGTTTCCTTCTGAGGATTTCATGATGCTGAATACATCCAGTGTGTGGATTAGGAGTTCTCTACACCCTTCACTGTGACAGAATGACCTGGGGGGGGGGTCTAATTCCGTTTGACCCCCAGACTGTAAATATTTGGATAATATGTGGATGAAAAAAACTTCCCACAGTGACCTGGGATTTTAAAATGATCATTTTTATTCAAGTCAAAACAAAACACAGGATCAAACATCAGGGTTTGTGCAAATGTCTGCATAAAGGCCTGGCTTATCTGCCCCCTGGGACTCTACGGGGCAAAGGTCAACCGAGGGCACAGACAAGTTCAACTGCATCTCTTCAATGAACAAGAAGACACCCTGGACAGAGACAGACAACCATTCACAAGCACATTCACACCACTCCACAATCCACATGTTTTAGAACTGTGGAGGAACCTGGAGGAGACCCAGAGGGAGAGACCAGAGAACTTCACACCAGAGCTGGCACTCCAACCTGAAACTTCTTCAAAGATCTTCCGAAAAGAGCAGAAGCAGCTTTGACCACAACGTCAACAGGAGAAAAACTGAAGAAGTGAGCGAGGCGCTGTGGGCGTGGCCATGCAGGGTGACATCACAGGGCCAGACCAGGCCTTTCATCACGTACACAACACAGTGCAAGACATCAAAAACAGTCAAATTGTCTATCTTCTCATTCCTCACAGCCAGCTGTAAACAAAGACTCTCTAAAACCCACGGACAGTGAACACATCACGACTACTACAGCAGGAGACGCCGAGGAGCTGCTTCAGGCTTTGATTCTGTGGTTGGTTGGTTGGTGATGTCATCAGGTGTCATCAACTCACACCTGAACTGCTGCAGATTTGAGCATTTTATACCATTTTAGTTTTTTTGCCTTTTCCTAAACTACAGGATGCCCCTGAAGGCCTCATACAACCAGAGTGAAAACCTGAAGGTCCCTTTGACTGTGGTGGAGAAGAACACAGTGGGATTGTGGGTAAATGTCTGCTCCGTCACTCCTGCTCTCTTCCAGACATGGAGATAGCGGAGGCATCAGAGCTGCGGGGGTCCTTCACACCGATGATGAGGTCATTGGTTCTCCTGGTGGCCTCTACCATCGAGAGAACGTCGGTCCTCTCCACTTGGTGACCTTTAACCCTCAGCTGCTCCACGTCTTCATCCAGAAACTCAGCTGCACAGAAGGAGTGAGGAGAGACCAGGTGAAGGAGATGAAACTGAGTTCTGGAGTTCATCAACAAACATCTGAGGTTTCCTTTTGAAGACACACCCTTCCATTTTCCTGACCAATCAAAAAGGTTTGACCTCCACTGTTCTAAACTTTTATGGATTTTATGGATGTTCTCTTCATCTCTCTGTCCAGAAGGTCTTCACATCAAACTGTGACAAAGACTCAGACTTACAGTCCACCAGGAGAGTGTTGGACTCCAACTGTGGGTGGAGGCGACCAAAGGCCAAACTGTTGCTCAGGTTTTGACGAGAAGACAAAACATGAATTAACACCTGAAAAGAGAATAAGAACAGGAAGTGAATCCATCTGTGTGACAGAACAGACCAAGAAGGAAACAGGACCAAGACAGAAGAAGAAGAAGAAGAAGAATCACTCCCATTATCTCTCATCTCTTCTCTCTAATCAGGTGTACCCAGAAAAAAAACAATTCTACCCAGTTTGACCCCCACTAACTCCCACTGACTCCCTCTAACTCCC